TGACGTTGGTGCACCCTGGCGTGGAAAACACACCGAGGAAACGTTGATGAAGCAGAAAGGAATCGTTTCTACGGCTGGAAGATGACCGTCGCGATGGAACACAAGCGTAAGAGCTCGTGGGATTCGAAGGTGAGACGAATGTGGCGCACTTTCCCCCTGTGTATGCGCTTTCCTCGTTAGCATCTTACTCGGGTCTCGCAGTTAATTAGCTAGCTGGTTGGCTGCCTGCCGCATGTGAAATCGCGCGTAAAAAGAAAACGAATCGAATCGATGAGAAACGATGAACGTATGCCCATTGTCTTCGAACGAAAGTGTAACGCGTTGTATGTACGCTACGATGTTTTCTTGCCGGTGGTAACTTTCGGTATAGCATTAAATGCGGTTTAGAATACGAGAATCGTGCAAACGCGATCCAAGGAATCATGAGCTGAAGCTGCGTGAATTATTCCTGCGGTTACGTTGCGCGTGCTCATTATCTGAATTACTTGCGCGTTGCGCTGCGCCAGGCCGATAAACTTGCGCAAACGGGCGGAATCACCTTTGACGCGGAACGATTACGTACGAAAGAAACTTTTGTTCCTTGTGGAGAGACACTATCTTACAATCTTTAGCCTTACAACTCGCAGAAGTTTTCGTATTTTTCTATGCAAAATCACGAGTGAAATTTATATTTTATTTATATTTGGTTTCAACGCAGTGCAAGAGAGAAATCAAAACAATTGATGGGGGGGGGGGGAGATGGGAAAGAGAATAGTTTTATTTCTTTAATCTAGAACTTACAACGTGAAATATTCATTCGGTGGATAATAAAAAATTCAATTATTCATATGATTGGCCGTGGTGATTTTAGTGGTAATTACAAAGTGATTTTAATTATTTTTTGATAGTTTTTAATATCGACGGAGCAATGGTCGCCGTTTCTTCTTAGACACATCGACCTTGTTCTCCATTGACCCCGAGTGATGCGGCGTATGACGCCGAATACCTACGCACTCGGTGGAGAACTAGGTTGACTGAGAAACAAAGAATGATGTGTTAGCTGTTGGGTTGGGTTAGCCTGGGTTGGGCTGACATCTCCTCTCTTCTCGATATACCGTTACCTGGCTAGTAGCACCCAATCTGTCGGCTGGCATTCCGCTCGAATTATGCGAATGACATTTGTCACGTGCTTCGCGATTGTCACTGGATAACTTATCATCAAAACCCACGCATCGAACGCTTTCCATTTTGTTTTATACTTTTGGGGTTAATGCGTTCGGGCTAGTGTTACAATGAGTAATAAACTCTTGGAGGAATATTTTTATAACTTCAGAGAATATAAGATTCTAACTATTGAATCTATGTTTCTTTAAGATTTTTGGAAAATTAAGTTATGTTACA